TTGCTCTCAGACCACAAGATTCGTCTATAACCTGATTAAAGGTCAAAGTATCTATGTGAAATGGAGTATTGTCAGCTGTAGAGGGAGTAGGAAGATAAGGTGGATTGAAGTGAAACTTCTTCCCCATACTTCCTTCCCTCCATCATCAGGGTTAGAGGTAGGAAGAACACTGAACTTTGGAGAAGAACTTCACTGCGGTGCCGTTCATTGTCATTGTCATGGGGAAGTTGCGATTAGTGCCCTAGGTGACGAATGGTGCTCAATTCTTAGGAACCTAAGAGGGAAGTCATCTGTAGCTTGCCATTTTTTGCCCACGCCATTCATAAAACCAGAGCTTCCCACACTGTAGTACCAGCTGAAGTGGAGGGAAAAGGCCTTCACATATAGTAGACTACTGGGAGGTTTGAATTCAAAACTCCCAAGAAGAGATAGGGGCTTTATTATTCTACAGGGAGGGTTAGCGATCCCTGGGCATGTGCCAGAAAGGAGCACTTCAATGTGGAAGCTCTTAAAGAGAGAGGACTTGAGAGGTGGGAGAGCTAGAGAACAAGGGGACATTCACATACTCCAAAGGCTTGGACAGTGAGGACTTTGCCACTACGTATAAAACAAAGGACCAAGGAAGCCTTGGTCACAGCACTTGATCTCAATCCCTCCCCATCTCACACCACCCCCCAACTCTAGACATTGGGATCATTTCCTGAACCACAGAATAAAGAACTGCTCACACGTCCATAGGATGCTGTATTTGTTTGGGGGAAGACAGAAAGAACAGGACCCAGAATGGACAGATGATGACCCGCTCAACAGCCATCTGACCACTGGCTCGCCATCACCGGGACGAATCGCAACCAGCCAACCTAGACGGACATAAGGCTACCTCCCCAACCTCTCCCTTCCCCAGAGGGCAGCTAGATACCCACCCTGTACAAAAGAAAGTAGCAGCAGAATCAATATCACGCCCAACCACCAGCCAGGTGAGAGTGTGTCCAGACCCACAGGACTCACACATTCCTGGTGTGTCTCTAGGCTGGAGTAGGAGGCAACAGGCTTACTCAGCCTGATCTCACCTGTGGTGAACATTTGTTGTTTTCTGATTACAGGACTTCCATTTGTGGCGAGCCCTCTGATGGCAGGTCCTCCCACCACGGAAGTGCTGCTCTGTTTAGCACCACACTGTTTGGTTAGGCTGACACTCTTTCCAGAGCCAATTTTTCTCGATGGAGAAAGCACTAAATTGATTAATGTTCGAGCACAAGCTCTTTGCTTCATCACAAAATAAAAACAGTCCATAGCCTGGCACCAGTCTGCAGACTACGCTTTGTGAAGCACAGATCTGGGGCCATACATTACCTCTCTTAGTATTCAGCCAGGTGTGTAGATGCATATGACCTAAATTCAGGGACCAGGTGCTCCTACCTGGGTCTTTGGATCTCGAAGGAGAGAAACAAAGACGCAGGGACAGTTGAGAAGCTACACATGGTGGTGTGAGCATTTTCAGAAGACCAGCAGGAGTATCAGCCTTGAAAGTCCATAGGAAGCAGCAGCATTAACTGCTCAGAGCTAGGACAAGAGCGACACCGTAAACAGATGACAGCATGCCCTGCCATGTTCGCCACTTACAGCCTCTCTTGGTTTCCATTTTTCTGAGCCTGGTTCTCCAGCCTGTCCATCATTTCTGTGAGCTACCCAAGAACTTCCAATAAATTCTTTTTCTGCCTAGGTGAGCCAAGAGAGGATTTTGTCTCCTGCATCCAAGAAATTTGATTGATAAACTCTCTCACATTCCAATCAGGTGACTGGTGATACCTGTGTGCGTACCAAGGTCACCAAACAATTTTCTGATTGTAATTTGGCCTCTCCTATGTTAACTAGAAAACTCTGGGCTTCTTGGTAACTATAGTTCTCATTGAAAATTAATTGATTGGCATTTAGGTCTTAAATATCAGGTGATAAGTAGGGATAATGTGAGTCCACTCCGGAGAGAAAGATCGATACTCTGTAAGTTGATAAACTTGGACTTCATACGCTACAATGGTGACACTCAGAACATGGGTTGTGGCAAATTCACCACATGTGTATCTGTGGAGACCTGGCCTGGGGACCCCTTCTGCAGAGTTACAACTCCTACTCTACCCTCCACCACCCTATGGCTTTCTTACAGTTATTGAAGATTAAATCAGACTGATTTACAGTCTTCTAAGTCTGAAACAGGCAATAGAATGAACAGGCTCAAATTAAGCTCTTAGAAGTTCATAACTTGCCAGCAAGGCAACTTATGAAGCCTTTTTCTTATATAAATTTATTTATCTATTTTTGGCTGCGTTGGGTCTTCATTGCTGCACGCAGGCTTTCTCTAGCTGCGGCGAGCGGGGGCTACTCTTCATTGCAGTGCGTGGGCTTCTCATTGCAGTGGCTTCTCTTGTTGCAGAGCATGGGCTCTAGGCACACGGGCTTCAGTAGTTGTGGCACGTGGGCTCAGTAGTTGCGGCTCGCTGGCTCTAGAGCACAGGCTCTGTAGATGTGGTGCACGGGCTTAGTTGCTCCGCAGCATGTGGGATCTTCCCAGACCAGGGCTCGAACCCGTGTCCCCTGCAGTGGCAGGCGGATTCTTAACCGCTGAACCACCAGGGAAGCCCCAACTTATGAATCTTGAAATAAACTTGTGCATGTGCATCACATTGGCACAGTTCCCCATTTATCACCCATAAGCATCCCATGCCAAAACCATATGGAAAGAAATTATTATCAAAAAGCAATCTGGGGCTTCCCTGGTGGCGTGGTGGTTGAGAGTCCACCTGCCGATGCAGGGGACACGGGTGCGTGCCCCGGTCCGGGAAGATCCCACATGCCATGGAGCGGCTAGGCCCGTGAGCCATGGCCGCTGGGCCTGCACGTCCGGAGCCTGTGCTCCGCAATGGGAGAGGCCACAGCAGTGAGAGGCCCGCATACCGCCAAAAAAAAAAAAAAAAAAAGCAATCTGTGAATTTTAAAAAACAAATCTGTTTTAAAAAGCAGCAATCTGTAAACCCATATTGACTACATCTCATTAATTTCTGGCTTGATTCTAATTTGCATCATTAAATATTTGCTTGTCGGTTTCATTTCTTTAAACATGAGTAATAATTCTACCTCCTTATACTTAACAATTAATTCATAACAATTCTATATTGCATAATCATTGCTTTATCCAAAATATCTGGATGAAGGTACCTGCAAAGTATTCCAATATTATCCCACCACTGTCAACAAGGGTACTGGACAAATAAATCAGTGCTGTCATCTTACTTCTAAAAACAATCAAATAATTTTCTACCAGACAAATCTTAAACCTACAAATAAGTAAACTTTGGATCCCCAATAAAGTTATTAATAAATGAACTCTCAGTTTGATGTTTTATACTCTCCTGATTCTACAGGACCAGCTCTTCATTATCAGGAAGTATCACCTGTAGGATCACGTACAGCACTTGACAGCTTGCACCACGCTTTTATGTGCATCTTGTTAATTCTTATCAACACCCAATGGAGTGGTACAGCATGCAAGCATTTTTATCTCCATTTCACAGATGAAGAAACCAGGGCTCAGGGTGAGCCAAGGCCTTTCTCAAAATGACTCATCTCAGAACTGCCAAGGCCAAGACGGGTTCAAATCTCAGAATCACCACCCTTCACCACCTGCATATAAAGCATGAAGACCTTCATATAACCCCCACCGGGCATATCCTTTCTTCTCTGAGCAACAGATGGCGTAACCTTACTGCCTTCATACAGGCATCCGATTTTTCTCTGAGTCTCCTTTTCTTCACAGTTGCCTCCTCCAAAGGATTAGCGCAAACCTGTTCTTAATAGATCCTTTGCTTCCTGCTCATTTTATGGGCTAGTTATGCAGATTAGATTTTTAAATGTCTGTAAAAGGACTTTGCAATCATGTGCAGCACCAGCGTGTACAGCAAAGTGTCATTATAATAATTACCACTTACTCAGAAGCCAACGAGAGCAGCTCTCCTTCCTCCTCCCTTCTCCCCCTCCTTCCTCCTCCCTTCTCCCCCTCCTTCCTCCTCCCTTCTCCCCCTCCTTCCTCCTCCCTTCTCCCCCATCTTCCTCCTCCCTTCTCCCCCTCCTTCCTCCTCCCTTCTCCCCCTCCTTCC